ATTAGACCGTTTGTCATTTGAGGATCCACCTTTTCTTGTAGCAGAAAAAGGAATCAGCAATTAAGGATGCGGGCTAGTTAATTAAAATCCACTAATTAAAGCGACAGCGATATCGAGTGTGATATCGAGTGCTATCTGTCCCGGTCCGAAAGCTACCTCAGAGACTATCGTGTTAAAAATGTTAAACAAAACCTTTGCATTTGTAGCTTAAATAAACAGACTAACATAAACATCTGGACAGCACTTGGACAGTCATATGGTTTAGACTAGCTTGCACTACTGTGAAACGGAGTCTGGACATCTGCTCCCTCTTGGTAAGCCACCATCCAAGCTGAAGTGATATCCCAGCCGATGCTACACCGTGCAGAACAATTCAATTAGGCCTATACAAATCGCGGCTTAAGAAATGCTGACACTAGCAGTGATTGCAATGATCAAGCAAGAATTCCGATTTTTTTAATTTAGCTGCAGCTCAGATTATATTGTAGTTTCAGAAATGCACAAAACTACACTTTGTCCTTAATGTCGATTTTACTAAGACTTGTCATTACCGGTCATCGTCTGTTGTCACGGTAATTAAAGTTGCGATTACAGTGCTGTTCGAGGACCTCCACAGAACTGCATTGCCGCTGTCATTGGGTCAGTGAGCACTGCATCATGAGACTCATTACTTCTTGATGAATGAAGATCCCCTTTGCTGGTCATCAAGGACCTAAGGGTTAGTTGCTTGTTTCACTTTTTGCTCATTAAATGCGCAAATTCCTATTCGAAGCTACTCAGAGCATCGGGGAGGCTGTTCTAAAATCTTGTGTAAATGCCTCCATTATCAAAAAATAAATCAGTGATAATGGACAAACCAGCTGTTGGCATCCGAGCAACCTAACCGCGCTTAATCTTGATGGACGTTGCCTGCCACACCACAAGGGGGCGCAGTCTTTCGAAATTCCAAACATCCATCCAATTAAGGAACAAGCAAAATTCCAAAAAAAAAACTTTAGAGAAAAGTACTTTAGAAGAGCAAATATGTTTGACATGAAGTCTGAAATTCAGACTGACATACACTCCAGTGTTTAGTATGTAACCCAACATATTACATGCCAGCAGTCGAGTAGATACGTTGTGCAGCGGCATGAAATCCTTACTGTAAATGCGATGGCTGACAGGCCGAAGCTCCGATATACTTTTTTTCAGTGGAAATTCTTACCTAACTGGTAGCAGCAGGCTGGGATTTGTGTTTAAAATGAATAACTGCAGCATTCTTCGTCATGAAGCATTACTACGCCGTGGTTTAAAGTTTGGGGACACCAAGAACACAAAGAAAAAAAATAAAGATTTTTTTTTTTTAAAAAATCCATTAACATTTATATGACTGGCTATGAGGACGCGCACATTAAAATAAAAAATCTGGTTCAGACCAGATCTGCCTGATGACATCAGTAAGAGTTTCCTCTGTATTTCTGTGATCATGATGCTGCCCTTAGTGTAACGGAGGCACAGCGCTCTGGACTGGGCTGCTGACGCAAACTACACTGCATTCACTGCATTCATTAACGGCAGGATGCTTCGGCCGCCTTTGTCTGCTGCCTTTTTGTTCTTCATGTATTTCATTTCCACCTTTATTTTATTTCGAAATTTATTTTAACAGAATTCCTATACTTGGAAAATATACTCCAAATTGACTTCAAATTTACTCCAAGTATACTCCAAATGTTTGTGTTTCGCTAGAGGATTGGTGCTCGTAAAACTGGTTTTTTCCATCATTTGAGCAGAAAGAATCCAAATAAATCACATGTTTTTCTTAACCGCCAAATAACTACAATATGACTTAAATTACAGAAAATTAAGACATTCAAATGAGTTCCGTTTGCTCTGTTTAATGTCCTGAATCGTCTGAATCATCAGAATCAGATTCCTTTTATTTGTCATGTACAAAGGCTACAAATAATTTGATTTAGTGATGACACAAGCGTACAATTTAAACACATTGTTGAAACAAAAATTTGACTAACATGCCACATGAGGCTAATTAATTAAGAGCTTGGCCGGTTCATAAGCTACCATGCAGAATGGTTTGACGAGGAAAAACCTACATTACAGTATTATAGTAACTAATTATAACATGCTGTAGCTACGTATGAATTCAAGAATCCCCAGACATGTAACCAGTGACTAACTAGTGAAAATCTAATGCCGATTCATCATTTCACACAAAATATTTATTAGTATTACCATGGCAAACAGGCTAAATTGCAAAACGATTTGATACATGATGTGGAACGTGCTCATGCCACAGTTTGTAACAGACAGGCATCAGCTGATCCTCCAGCACATGGCTGTTACCCCATCAGCAGCCATGAGACCTTTGACCTGGAAGCATAAGGTGTCGGCTCATTCCTGTTAATGTTAGCATAGAGACCGTCCCCACCCTAAAAGGATCTGTTTATGTAGCCAGCCTGTAATTGCCTCTGCAAGAAAGGGGAATTCCTTTAAATGTTAATCTGAAGGCAGGCATAGGACAGTGGTGGCAGAGGTGGGGGTCTGAGGAACCCCTGAATTACTAGAATTGCTCGATGCAGAGTGTGGCTGCAGCTCCCAGCTCGAAACAAAACACCTCACCCCCCCCCACCCCGCACAACACTGATTGCCAGTCCATCACCATAATCCCCGCAGACTCAGAAAACTCCAGGCGTCTTCCCAACGACTGCTATCCCACTCATATCTACTTGCACACCATTCAACCCACCTTTATCGTACACCAGCCCATATAATGACATTAATGGCAAATCTTGTTCCTAAGACGTGAATTTCCTCCAGTGGCATTGTACAGAGTGAAAGAGGACGGCAAGGAGGTGACAGTACAGAACCCCAAACGAGCGGCCAGTGTCAGCTGTGGGTCACGGCCGATGAATAAGCCATCACTTCTATTTTTGATCGAACAAACATTCTGTAGCTAAAATAAAAACCGGTTAGATCTTGGGGCAAGAATAACAACGTAAAGCTCAGAAGGTCAAAGAGAAGACACAGCAGGGATCAGGTCAGCCCAAGCTGCAGGCGTGACGTAGGCGACTGGAACAGACGCATTTGGGCTGGTGCTAGGGAGACCGGACCTCCTCTCTCACTGACGTGGGACAGCGACTGTGCTGCTTTTATGCCAAGAGAAGGTAACGGCTCTGTCGTTGCAATGCACCGCTTTAGGTGATACCTAAAAGAAATGTGGGGGCACTTTAATATATACATATATGAAACAAAACAAATGGGCTTCTGCAAAAACATTTCTGTTCAAATGTTTTCTCAACCCATTAGACCTATGACTGTTCCTGAGTGGTTTTCGAGTGTGAACTGTTCCAGTCAGCAGAACGTGTATCGTCAGGAGAAATAACATGACATCTGGAAACTCTCTTTGTCTTTGACAATTAAAAAAAAAGTTGGGATAAATGTAAGGGGAGGGGTGCATAAATTTATGCTTCGTGGTAGAAACTCTTCAGAAGTCCTTCTGAATTAGCTGTCCTGGGTCCAGTTTACTAGCATTCTGAGACCTGATGAGAATTAGGAGACCCAACAGCTACGCAGACATCTCGCAGGCTACTGGCACGCACAATTAACAGCACGATTATATTTATGATCTATTAATGTTTCCATGACATCAAACAGCAAACAACACGGAAAGCTATGACCAAGTTGTCCTGGCCAGACAAACACATGGGTGAGTTAATACAAATGCTTCCCCTGAAATTGCACTTTCATTTCATTCGTTCCCTAAATACAGAATAGAGACCACAACGCAATTATGGGGGAAGGCAATGGTGCAGCATAAACCAACAGGCCCCCCAAATGCTCCCCTGACAAGTTGTCAGTTTTATATACCAACATCATTTTCAACTAACGGCATTTGCGATTTGAGGATCCAGAACTTGGACCGGTTCGTACAAAAGGAATTTATGGCTGGGTCAACCTTGGCTTTGCTATCTGTGTAAAAGCCACCAAGCTGAGCCAGCAGAATGTGGTACAAAAATGCTAGGGAGTGATAAAACGTCACAATACACTGAGCTGCACAAATGTTACTTGTTTGAAAGGTTTTGTCGAAGTAAAACTTGCGCTGTGTTCTTCGAAGCAAAGCGCACAAACAAAACACACAAATATAACACACATAAAGGAATTTGTGCCCAATTAAATTGCGGTTTTTCTGTATTTTCCACTTTCCTCTCAAAACGTTATGCGGTTGTGTGCCATGACAGCGGACTAAACACTACGCACATCTGGCCAAGGGCTGTGACTAAGACCAGAGCAAAGAACTCCCAAGCTGGGGGGGGGTCTGTAAAGGGAGTGTTTATCAATGTTCTCTGTGCTTGGCAAAACTTTCACAGGAGTGTCATTGTTTGAAATATTAAACCACTGAGCTCCTGGCTTGAGCTGCATACCCAGGGATATTAATGGACTTCCACATTCACTACGGATAAGTAAACTCAGAGCTATATTCAGCCAGGCTTCTCCATATCCAGCTTAAAATCTGGATTTGCAGTTTTTTTTAATTCATAAATCCTACATAAATTAAACCGTATTTATATAAGCACTTAGAGTATATTTGATAGGACTTTTAAACAGCATCTAACTCAAATGTGACTCAAAGACCATAAAATGTTTACATTTATTCTTTAAATCTTTTTATATATTTACTGGAGTAATGTGGATATGGTCTTTCGGTACTGTGCTTTGTGAAATAACTGGTTAGAAATTTACAGGGTGTGTTTCAATGATAGTCAGTCATTGGTTCAATATTTTAAAATATCTATTCTTATTTGTACAATTAAATAAGGTGTAGTAAAGCATGTGATAAAAATCTGAAAGCACGCTTATATTAGCGACTGTAGGTACGGAAACGCAGGATCAATAAATGGGATAAATGTCCTCCTAACTGGATAGACACACACACTTTCATTCTTGAGCATGAAGGTACAATATTTTGACAAACTGACAAAGTCTGTCTCGTTTCTCACTTACAGACTGAAGTTGCTGATTGATCAGGAAAAGGTTTATCAGGAGCGGAAGGAGGAGGAAAACAACAGGAAGACCAGCCGCCTGAAACAGGAGCTGACCAAGCTGAAGTCGTTCACCTTGCTGGTTGTGGATGAGCAGCAGAGGCTGACTGAGCAGCTTACCCAACAGAGTGCAAAGGTCCAGGAGCTGACAGCCAATACAGCCCAGGCGCAGGAGAAACTGAGCTCTGCTCAGGCCAGGGCACAGGAGGAGGAGCACAAGGTGTGTCAGCTGCAGGCGGAGCTGCGAGACCAAGCTTGCCGCTTTCACCAGGAGCAGGAGGCCATGACTGCCAAACTGACCAATGAAGATGCCCAGAACCGGCAGCTCCGGCAAAAACTGGCCAGCCTGAGTAGACAGCTGGATGAACTGGAGGAGACCAACAAGACACTGCGTAGAGCTGAAGAGGAGCTACAGGACCTCCGGGACAAAATTAACCGTGGGGAGTGTGGGAACTCTAGCCTGATGTCAGAGGTGGAGGAATTACGAAAGCGGGTGCTGGAGATGGAGGGGAAGGATGAGGAATTAATCAAAATGGAGGACCAGTGCCGGGACCTCAACAAGAAGCTGGAGAAAGAGTCCAGTCAGGGCCGCAACCTTAAGGCTGAAGTGGACAAGCTGAATCGTAGGATAATGGAATTAGAAAAGCTGGAAGATGCTTTCAGCAAGAGCAAACAAGAGTGCTGCTCACTAAAGTGCAACTTGGAGAAGGAGAGGACTGTCACAAAGTACCTCTCCAATGAGCTAGACTCACTGAAAGTGAGGATTAAAGAGCTTGAAGCCATTGAGGGTCAACTGGGGAAGACTGAGATCACACTGAAAGAGGACCTCACCAAGCTAAAGACACTGACTGTCATGCTAGTGGATGAGAGGAAGACGATGGCCGAGAAGCTTAAACAAATGGAGGACAAGCTCCAAAACAGTACTGGTAAGCTGCAAGCTGAACAAGACAAAGTTACATCGGTGACTGAGAAGCTGATAGAAGAAAGTAAAAAAGCCCTGAAGTCCAAGGCTGAGCTTGAGGAGAAAATGTGTATGACCATCAAGGACAGGGACGACCTCAGGGCCAAACTGAAAACCGAAGAGGAACAGAACAATGACCTGCAGTCCAAAATCAGTATGATGAAGAAGAGGCTGCAGTCACTGGAAGCTGTGGAGCGAGAGTTTCTCAGGAATAAAGCCAAGGAGGAGCAAACCAAAGTGCCCGTTGTAAAACGCTTCCATCAAGAAGATAATAAAGTGAAAGATCTCACTCAGGAAGTGGAGAGGCTCAGACGAAAGCTCAAGGAGATGAAAGTGGTTGAGGGTGACTCAATGAAAACAGAGGATGAGCTTGAGTCCTTGGAAAAGAGATACTCCAACGAACATGAACGTGCAAAGGCCTTGTTGGAAGAACTGGAAATATCTAGGAAGGAACTCTCAAAATACCAACTGGCAGAGAAAGTGGAGTCCAACCAGGAGCACACTCTTTATAAGCGTCTAAAAGAAGAAGAAGCAAAGTCAAGCCACCTTACCAGAGAGGTGGAGGCTCTGAAAGAAAAAGTCCATGAATACATGGGCACCGAGGACTCCATCTGTCGAATGAAATCAGAACATACGTTTCTTCAGAAGAAACTGACGCAGCAAGAAGTGAGGAACAAAGAACTGGCGAGAGAGATGGAAAACCTGACAAAGGAACTGGAGAGATACCGGCGCTTCAGCAAAAGCCTACGGCCAGGAATGAATGGCAGGCGCTTTTCAGATTTACACGTCTCTACAAAGGAAGTGCAGACAGACCCGACTGAAAGCAAACCCCCGGCATACAAGAGCGTGGCTCCACTGGAGCGAGCAGTGATGAACGGGAAACTATACGAGGAGAATAATCACGAAGATGAACCGAATTACAACATTGAACTTCCCCTCACCAAGTGCAGTCCTTCCCTTATGAGTAATGTGAACAACTTAACCAACAACAACTTCCGGAGAGTCTCTTTCCCCAGAAGCAAGGAAAGCCAACACCAAGTAAATGGTAAAGTGCTACCTAGACCCAATGGGAACCACATGCAGCAAGGGGATGTGGTGCTGACACATTCACCTGGGCAGCCCCTGCACATCAAGGTGACCCCAGACCATGGGCAAAACACAGCCATGCTGGAGATCACCAGCCCCACAACAGAAAGCACCCACTCCTACACCAGCACAGCAGTTATACCCACCAGTGGCGGCCCACCCAAGCAAAGAATAACCATCATTCAGAATGCCTGCATCTCCCCGCCATCCAAAGCCAAAGGCCCCACTGTAACAGATGGACCCGGAACCCCTGACAGAGCCATCTCACCCCTTACCATGACCACCTACACCAGAACTACAACTCCAGACTCATGCGGGTCCATTACTCCAGACAGGGCCATGTCACCCATCCAGATAGTGTCCGTCACCACCGGCACTCCGGAGCGCTCCATGTCGGCTGAGGCCGTGGAGGTTCTGGGAGGTCACGCGGTGTTCCGGGTGACTCCGGAGAAGCAGAACAGCTGGCAGCTGCAAAGGTCCAACAGTTCCGGCCCCAGTGTCATCACAACGGAGGACAACAAAATTCACATCCACTTAGGCAGCCCCTATATTCAGGCCATGAACAGCACATCTCGCCCCATGAGTCCAAGCTACACCAACAGCCAGGAACACAGAACTCCAGGTTTAACCAACGGTGTCCCTGCTAAAGGCGGAAACAAAATCACCAGTAGTATCACTATAACGCCCACCGCCTCCCCAATCCCAAGGCCTTCACAAATTACAGTAAGTAATCTTTATGAATGACCCCCCCACCCCCAATAGTCCACCGACCCACTCAACCCCCCCAACACTGAATTCTGTTTACCCAACTACCAACTGATGCCCCCAAACTGCCTCCTCTCTAAGTTTAAATAACAACCTAACAATTCCCTCCCTCCATCCGCCTTGACCAACAGTCAAAGACTCCTATAAAAGCGCTTTGTTTATTTTTGTGTTATTTTTGGGAGATGTTTGTGTGCATGAACTATAACTACAAAAATGATAAATCTATAGAAGCACTAGCAAATGGATATCTTTACTCTGGGTCAACTCCTGTGTGCACTTACTGTATATGCCCAATGTCAAACCACCATGTACCAAAATTATTCAGATGTACTGTTTTCATTTTGTTACACAAGTAGTTTTTTGTTTCTTTCGCGCATTTTTCTTTTCTATCGATTAAAATAAGTAAATGTTGAATTGTTTTATTTTCATTATTTTGGTCTACCGTATATTTTTGGTTTGAGTCTTAAATACTGGTTTTGAAAGAATGTGACTGATTGACCTGCTTTAAGTTGGAGTGCAAAATTATTTGGCACATTGCAGAGTGTTACCCCACAATGTCAAATGTTCTACAGTTAAGAATGAGCCAATTCAGCAATTCACTATAATGTAAATCACCATCTTAACTGCCAGTACTAGAGAGAAAAAAAGGTTTTAGCCTGGAATTTGCATGACTTTTTATAACAGCAGTGTTCAGTGCTTTTGTTGATGGGGAAAAAAATCACAGTGAGAAAAATAACTCTATACTGAGGGGAAACTCACCTTTTCAAGGTTTATTTAAACTTTCTCAGGTTTTATTTTTGATATCAGCTACATGTTAACATTCTGAATTTATATGAAGAAAAGGCACAAAGTTCCACCGTGCGTTTGTTTGGCTGAGCACAGCCTTAGGCTGATGTCATAGTTTCACAGTCTATCCGAAACAGAGGAACTCGGGAGCTGCAGGCTCAGGTCTGCATGGGTTCCGATTTCTCTGACTTTAACCTCCTCTGATGACACACTGGAGCTCTTAAATGGCTCAGATGACTCTGAACATTGAGACTGAACAACATCAGTCTTCATGGAACTGACCTCTCTGTGGCTCCACTTCTCAGTGTGTCTAAATTTATTTCTTGTAGAAACATTCTCAAATGCTCCACAATATCCAACAAAATTGGTATATCGATACATGCATGCCAAAGCAACTACAATACTGCCTGTTTGGATTGCTGTGTTGGACAAAATAGAGAGCAAATAATTTCCTAGCAGAGAGGTAAGTATCAGTACTCAATACACTCAACACATCATGAAGATATCTTGAATCAATTGGTAGGTTAGCCTTCATTTATCAAAGTCTTTGAGCCGAAAAATGTCTCTTGTGCCAATAGGAAAAACAGGAATTGTGGAAAAATGAATTTCCAAAATATTCTAAATAGGTTAAAATGTGGCAAAAAATGTCTGGGGCATTTATTAAGCCACACATTAACCACACGTTTAGACACCACAGTCTCGTAACTGTTTAGTAACCTTAACTGTTAATTAATCAGCTGGGCGATATGAAGACTCAAATCTGCATTGTGTAGCGTCATGTTGTACATTTACATGCTGTGAAGATACAGCATATAATCTATGCAGATTGGGATTTGCTCCAACTTTAGGCAAACAGTAACTGTGTTTTTAAAATGCATGTGAATTACCAGACACTTTTATAGCAAGATCAAGCCAACCTAGTTCAGCATGCTTCTTTGCTGCCCCGAGTCATTTTCTCCTTTTGACATTTTAAGATCTTCATCAAAATATATAAGTAAATATCAGGGCTAGGCACTCTGCAAGTTATCATCTGACAAGACAAAAAACAAATTACACTACAAAACATACAGTTGTACTCTAATGCAGCTGCCTTTATCGAAAGATAACTCCGATAAACACATTCTAGTTTGAAGAATGTTAAGTATAAACACAGATTTTTATTGCCATGGTCACATTCTAACCAGCTCACCCACAAGGAACGTCCTAGGACTTCAACCTAATAGTGCAAGATTGATGATGCCTGACCTGAAACTCAAAGTACTGTCTATGCCCTACTTTCACACAAAACTGACTGACTTTGACTTTGGGAGACAGTCACAGTCAAGAATAGTACCGTCTCTGTCCCTCCAGCTAAGGACATTCATGGTTGCTCTGAACAAAGTCGCCTTTTGATTGGCCAGACTTAACAGCTGCTCATTCAATACACATACATATACACACACACAAATTACATTGCGAGTTCAGGGTGGGGGTGCACCGTGACATGGTGTCAACGTAAAGAGTTACCCGTTAAATCGATTTCATTGGAATCTGTGCAGTTTGGAAACTGTATCCCCCACCCGCTTCGCAGGCCGCAGGGAAGAGCCAGGAAACACTGGCAGCCTGAACAAGGCACCAGTCATTATGGGTATCAGCATGACCCCAATAAAGCGCATTCCACCTGTTTACCGAGCACAGCAGTCTGCCTCATGTGTCATCACCTCTCCATGAGCAGAGTAAGCTACCTTCAGAGTATGGTGTTCTAAGGTAGGTGTCAGTGGAGGAACACGGAACACAGCAGCTCACACGGAGCACTGGAAACAGGGCAAGCTCCTGTAAATGACTGTATTAGGAGGACATATACACACATAAACAAGTGTTCTTCTTTAATTACCTGAATGAAACAGAGGAAACCCAAGGACTAGGCACTGGTCTTCCCTCTAAGTGCCCCAGACAATCCAGGCCCCTCACTCCCAATCATACCTTTTGCAGCCTAGACACAGCTTCCATTCTATTAAGTACCATCACTGAGCACTGCTATAGAACCCCCCCCCCCGCCCACATCCTGATTTTCAAAATGATAATTTAACTCAGGAGACACTCAGAGCTCATCTCCGTGTTATACCTCCAAGGGAGGCATAATGAATGGGAACAAGTAATGAATGTGTACCCCTCCGAGATAATTAGACGGGCGCACAGCGAGATGCTCGAAGGGGGAGGCTTCGCATCGCGAGCAGAGCAGAATTCCCAAGCCGGGGCTCTGCAGTGAAGTGCCTCGCTGAGCCAGGCTCTAAACAAATCCCTGTGTTTGGTCGCCATGGAGACAGGCTGCCTCGGGACGGACAGGAGGCCGGTTCCTGCTGGAACCCACTCGCCGTGATACAGACAAAATACCATATCAACAGAAATGGACCTCTGCAGTAACATCTCACATGTTGTTTTAGGAAGGCACCCCAATGCTGTTCCTCTATCTAGGATACATTTCAAACATATACTGTAAATTATTTAAAAAACACAGTCTGGGCTTTTTTTTTTATTATTCCATTTGCAAAACATTAAAAACCATTTACAACCACGATGGTCTGAAACGAATTCCCTGTGCAGTTTTCACTCCATGAATTGGCTTTATCAGGCTATGGAAACTGGAGATCACATGCGAGGAATACTGCCTTAGTGCAACACAGGATGCTACTGGGGAAAACGGAAATCCACTGTAAAAAGCAAAAAACTCCTTCAATCTACCAATAATCTTTCTCATGCTAAAAGAAACACAAAAAATAAATGCCAGTCGTGGGTCAAACTATAAGCCATCTCACCAATTATTTTGCTACTAGTCAGACACAGATAAATATTTTTAATACTTTGTTTGGCTGTTGTGTGTCAATGAAGAACCAGAGCTGCCAGTTGTGTTTCTCACAGATGCACAGAGAGGAAAAGAAATGCAGAGTAGTACACACAGAGTAAAAGCAACGGGTGTCCATAATTTACAAGTGACTAGAGCGCCCTCTTCTGGTAACAACCTGGTACCAACTTCCACTGACCAGATGTCTTCCCATATACTGTAAATCAAACCCTTTTTTCAGCACATTAGTCATTATGCCCTTTTTACTAAGACGAACCCTAATTTCAATAATATGAACTGACAGGATGAAAATACAAAAGTACTGCTGCTGGGCATGTTCTCTACTAAATAGAGAACATTAAATAAAAACACAGATGAGCTTTCAGTTTGATCTATGGTAAAAGTCAACATGTGTCACTTCCTGCCTGGTCTTGTAAACTCCTTGTCATTCGTAAAAGACCATATAAAGAGAAATTATATCGGCGGGGATGTGAACCTTTGTAGGGCAACTAACATCCAGAAGTCTCCCAATCATCGTCGTGGTTCCCACAGGATTCTCCATTAGCTGTGCCGCCTTCATCATTCACACGCTTGTGACTGATGTACATAAACACTCCGTCTGTGCATCTAATTCCAGGTTCCTCTAGAAGCCTTCCGATATCCCGGCCCGACAAGAATCCCGAAGCCGAAAGGCCACGGCACCTTCGGAGGGGGGAGCACCAGGACTCAGTCAGGACAGAGCAAAGGCCAACCACCCGCACAGGCTGCCAAAGACTCGGGTGCGATATCCGGACCACACAACCTCAACAAGGCAAACCGGGCTACCAAAATCTGAAAGGCAACTCTTTTTGGACAGCAGCTTATTCCACTAACTGCTAATCTCTAACTGACTGTTGAGCAATAATGAATTTTGCCCACTTTCACTTAAAAAGTCTCTTTCCAGCTTGAAGGCCCTTGTGTTATAGATTCTCATGAACCTACTTTAAAAGTAGCAGCACTGATAAAAGGACAAAGAAGTTGAACTTCACTACAAAAAAACTCAATTTTGAACAGTAATGTTTCTTTATCAGCTAATGTCACATTTTTAATCACATTTGCTTTTGTACTATTGCCTGTGAACAGTGCAGAGTAGTTATTTTGGAACATACATGTAGAATTTGAAGTTCAGTTTCTACAGAAGAGCATATTTACAGAAAATCATTATCATATTAGTTATGTACTAATAAATGTCTTCGCGTAAAAATTACTATGAATTAACGATGCTTCTTGCCAAGGTAAACTCCAAACTGCAGGAATCAGAATGAACTACAATGATCTATATCGAAATACTGCACCCTAGTGGGGGAATACAACATAACGATCCTAAAAATTTAATTATCTGGTAACGCTATTACTAAATATAATGGAGATTTTAAACAACCCATAAACCACTATTATAAAAAAAAACAATTTATATTGCAACGTGCATTTACAGACTGGCTGCAAAATCCGGAAGTGAACTAAACAGACCTATTAACATCTATTGTGGACTAGCATCTGTAGGCATTAAGATTAATTAACACTAACATGAAAAACGATCTTAAAACATTCATAAAAATGATGCGACGTACTTTTGGGAGCGGCAAAATGAAGCAATTAGCTAAATATCTTAATCGGCGAGAACTGTTCCAAAGAACCAATCCAGTATAAACTATATTTACGAGAATCAAGCTCAGTGAGATTTTAATCATTCATGAGCAGATCGTTAACTTGATGGTAGCGGAAATTGAACGATATAAACAGACAACAACATACACAAATCACTCCCTTTAAACGAGCGTGGAGATCAGTACAACGTGGGTACTCAGTGAAATCATCAGGCATCATTCGTGCATGTCGACAGGCAGCTTTTATAGAATCGCATTCAATAAACATTTTACTGCGGTACGGTCGCCTTTGTGAATGTAAAAAAAATAGTAAGAACATAGTTCTTACAATACATTTACCTGAACTGTCGGCTTTCCACCAGTCCTCTCCCAAAGTGTCTGCCATTTGCAAAACTTAAACTACCGCTGTAACTGGGGATTTAAATAGTCTTTGGTTTACTTACAGCATATTCGATCAAAAAGGATACTCGGAAAAAAATGCCTTGTGTGTCTTTTGATCTGATGGCTATCTAGTAATAATAAAGGCGATCTAATTTTAACAAAAACTATAAATAATTAATTATGAATACAAAATATGTGCAATTCTGCCCTTTAACCATCCACCCGTCGAAACAGCAGTACTGTAAAAGTGTCTTCCACGTGGTACTGAATCATTTACATACAGAAATACAGTGGGGGAGGAGCAATATTTAAAAGCCCTAGAAATCTCAAGCCAATCAGAATTTAAGCGGCACCACGCAGCGAGCCAATCGGCGGACAGTAAAGCTGAGGCCACGCCCGCGCGGTAAATTCCCCCTGTTTTTGTACTAGCACTTTTCATTTATTTATTAAAACAAGCGGGAAGGTGCGTGAAGCGTCTTGGTAATAATTATCGTGCAATTTCATGAGTGTTGTTTTATATAAGGGATGCGGAGGAGGATGTGTTATTTTGCTGCTTAATTGGGAAGTTTAACGCTGGCGTCACAGCACCGCTCCGGGTAGATATTTGCGGGAGCAGTGAGGGGAGCTGCGCCGGGCGCCCTGTTAGTTGCTATACGGCCCGTTTTGTCGTGGTTTCCACCTGAAACTGCGCCTCCGGGGCTGTCAGGGTAGCAGAGGCCGAGGCAGCGGAGTCAGCTAGCCGAGGATGGCAGCCGCCTGTGAAAGAAGGCAAGTCCTGGTGGAAATTCCCGCACCTCAGCCCAGGATAGCAGGTAAACGATTTCCTCACAGAAATAATACATACACTAAAATGACCGGGTTCTGTTGTCTGCAACGAGAAAGCGGGGCGCTTTAAATTTCCCTCCGTCAGATTGGGCGGGCAGGGGCCCTCACTGATAAGAATGGAGAAACTCATTTTTATGTTGAATTTTTCTACTTGTTATCATAATAACTATAGTAACCATGCAAACTAGAATATAGCATAAAGGAAACGTATTTAAATGGTTCGGCTGGTGTGTTCCTGACCCCATTGTAACTACCCGGATTTTGGCGGGTCTGCCTTCATTTGGAGGCCGATTTCCCCCGCCAACCATTACCCCCTCCCCAGATATTTTAACATTAAAAAACTATATAACAAATTTTGAAATTGCAGAAAAACTCCCACTTAGTCACATTTGCGATTTTACTTGTTGTGAAATAAATTAGACGATAGCGGGACAGTGGAGGGTATAATCAGGGAATCTAACGAGCCCTTTTTGTTACATATTATATTGATTATTAATAATTATTATGTTAAAACAAAGTGAAAGTTGCCGACTACGGACCAGTTTACCAGTGACTTACCCCTCCTCCCCGACTAATACTACTTACTATTTTTAAATTAAATATTAGTTGTGAAGATCTTGATCGGCCCGGACTTTGTATTTATCTCGGACTACAGTTCTACATATTAGTTGAGTAAAAAGTTTGGCAGGGGCCTACACGTGTTCTGGGGGGTCGGCAGTACCGGTCCTAGCCGATGTGGCGCCCTAGGCGAACACCCCGCCCGCCCGTGGCGAAGTGAAATTAGCTGGCAAGTCGGCGCCCCCTCTGCAGTTGGTGCTCTAGGCGGCCGCCTATGTCGCTTATAGGATTTCCCGCCCCCGTGGATCGATACTTCGCTAGCAGTAGGGTGTGTGTGTTGACTGGCTGATCCTGTACGCAGGTGTGATCAGACACGCGTAACATGACTGTGCTTTGCAGCTCATATAAGACGCTCCTACTTGGATGTGCTGAATTCCCGTATGGGGTCGCCAGCCTGCAGCTCCAGAAATCCTGCGCCTCGCTCTCTGCCAAGTCGTGCAAGTGAGTACACCCTTCGACAGCGATCTAGACGTTTTACAAACATCTCTTTGCCATAGGTCTCCCGCTCCACGATCAAACGGTAACCTCAGCTTTGAGAGGCCTGGTTCCTGTTGTAAGTTGCCTAAAACTTAAGAACTTAAAACTCTGGCATGTAGTTAAAACCGTGTCACTGCTCCAGGGGTGTTCTTTTTCAGGGCAGTGTAAAAGTGCAGAACTATACAGCAGCTCTTTTTAGACTTGTTACCACCTTATGTTGTTTCGGGAATCTTTGCTCTGCTAAACTGAAATGTTTTTGGGGGTGTATGTAGATTTCCAGAGACCCAGGGTTTACACGAGGTCTGTTCTTACTGATTTGATTCTCTGGTCGTAGAGGCTGATGTTAAGGCTTCATCTGCGACCAGGCCAGAGGATCTGCAGGCAGAGCAAGTGTCTATTTCACAGCAGCAACTTGTCCACCTCATCCGCTCCCTCATCTTCCAGCAGAAGGTACGGCGGCTTGTTTCTCACCTACCCGCACTGAGGTGTGTTAGCCAGCATTTGTGTTTGGATGCTGATGTTATCCAGTATTACTGGAGTTGGGGTGGAGACCGCATAGTGAATCGCACCCTAACCTTCTGTTCACCGTCTGCACGTTGTGTGTTTGCTTGTAGGAGACAGCAGTTGCGTCTGTTGGCTCAGACTTGAAGCTCTTGCAGGAGGATCTGCACCTGAAGAAGACCAATATCTACAGATCCATACCGTACTCCCGCCTTGGGTCCAACCGAGATGCACACTGTTACAGGAAAGCCTACCCCCACCTCCAGGCATTCAAGGTACGCTGATGCACTGGGCGCGGCTCTTTTGGTGCTGCTGTGCACCAGAATGATACAAAATGTCTCTACTAGTGGTTGATGGCTGGGCTGGAGCCGCTGTGAAAACTTTACCTCAAGCTTGTGGAACCGCAAGAGCAGACATTGACTTGGTCGTAACGAGTCAATATGACATCATGTGTGTCTCTGTGCTGGGACCAGACCTGCTAAACTGGGCAGCATGTTAGCATCTGATGCCTTAAGGCCATCAGCTGATCACCTCATGCAGCTGATCACCATAATTATCACAACTATTTTTTCCTCCACTCTTTCGTTGTTTACCTGTGAAAGTACTCACTGCTACCCACTGGAAATAACTAATCCATCATCTTACACATGCGCAGTCAATGCGCACAGACGTGCCTAGGCTCCGCTAGACACAAAAGTCTGGGCTGCACGTGCCCCAGCCACAGCTGTCCGCAAGCAACCCCCGATGATGAAATTTGTCATCCTCGTCCCCAACCAAAAGCGCACATGGAAAAGTATGAATTGTCCTTCAGTGGGGCTGTTGTAGACCTCGCATTGCCACTTAAAGGTGTGCTGATTGTACCGAGTAGTGATGGTGGTGTTTGAGGACCTCATTGGCCCTCCAGGTGGTTGACTGGAGACTCTCCCCCTTCTCAGCGGTCGTGTCAGGAGGGCGGCCGGTTGTTGGTTCAGGCGCAGCGCTGGAGCGCAGTGCTGGAGTACGCACTGGTGGCCTGGCGTTACGTCAGCGCGCTGCCGCAGTGGGACACCAGCAGCCACAACGCCCTCAGGGAGCAGTGCTACGGCGTGTTGGCGGACCTCTGTGCCTCTGCCCTGCATCACCAACGGCCCGGGCTCGGTCAGGCCCAGGAACTGCTAAGAAGGTGAGTTCACACACTGCATAGTCTAAAGTGCGGGATAATATTCAAGCACAAGAAAAAACACGAAATCAAATAACAGCTATTTTCGCTAGTATTTAACAACTTTATAGTTTATCCATTTATCCATAAATTTCTTCTGATGTTTACCGCTACTGTTTTTGTGAGCTCTGCCAGCGGTTTTTGCAAGTGCTCTGTCAGCTGATTATAATCTTTTTCATCCTTGCTCACTGATAGTGTGGCACACTTCAGAAATTTAGCACAAATGAGTGAGGAGAACAAGAACTGGTCAATAGATGACCTTTGGCTTTCATTAGCGGTAACTTTGTCCAGTGTGAATTTGAAACAATAACAGATTACTGTGTTTGACAAGGGTGGGGGCCTACGTCCCCCTTCATTCACTACTTTGGTGTCATTTGGTTGCACACAGCACCCGTTACTCACTTCCCACAACAAATCCGCTAGTCTTCGTGCAGTGCAGTCAGGCTGTGTCACGCGCACAGTTGGGCTTCGTGCAGTGCAGTCAGGCTGTGTCACGCACACAGTTGGGCT